AATATTTTTTTTGAAAAAATCCCTGTACTCCCCCTCAGGGATGATCTTCCCAATCATGACAATTTTTTCGATAACTCAGCCATTTCTTGACGGATCCTTTTCATCTTCGAACTCGACCGAGACATTGTTAAGACTGAACTGTGTAGAAAATTTCATCATGATCTAACTCTCCTTTCGAAAGTTATCGTGTATACGGCCGGCCGGACGGACATACTGACCGATTCTAGAGTGTACTCACTTTTTGAGTACACAAAAACTGTAATGTTAAAGCAGGCCATAACATTCTCTGAAGTTTTAAAGTATCCTCTACAAAATGGCAAAAAAATTAAGCTAAGAGTAAGATTCTAAGATGCCAAAAAATCTTATTTTCGATCAATAACTGGCACGAAAAATCAGAATTTTGACCATTTTAGCAACCATAGGTTGAGAAGCTACACACGATAAAAAGTTTATTTTCTGTTTACTAATGAAGGTTACATAGTAGATCAAAATAAAATAAACATTATTCAAATCGGTCAATACTAACCATAATTATTGCGAGTATTTGTCGAAAATTGAAACCAGACAATAAGATTGCAAATCGTCTATGATTACTGTTAGCTATAGATTCTTTGATACAATAACAATTGATATTTATATCTCAACCGATTTAATTGATAATGTACTCATAATTTCAGTGTAATCTTCACTTTAATTAGTGCTATATGTTATCATTGGAAGCTCTTTTTTTTAATAACTAACTGAAAAAGGAAGCAGATTTTGTACAACTAATTAACATACTTCAGAAATGCCATGACATTTTAAAGCTTTTTTTGTTATGACTGAATTGTCACATATAACACTTGTATTTCGATTCTTTAATAGAATAATAATAGATATTCGTTGCTCGACTAACTTAGTTAATAAAGCTATCATAATTTCAGTGTAGTTATCACTTTAATCACCTTTTTTTTTTTTTTTAATCCTTGAAAGCGTTTTTCTTTAAATATTTAACCTAAACAAAACAGCTTTCACACAGCTAATTATCATATTTCAGAAATGACATGGCATTTAAAATTTTTTTTTTTGTTATGACTAAATTGTTTCATAAAACGCTTATAATATATGAAGAAATATGAGTTGGAAACTACAATTGTATGAACTTTTTTTAAAACAAAACGTTTAGATTTTGCTGTTCTGTTTTTCATAATTGAAGAAATGTTTAAAGAGAACTATCATTGATATAATATCATATAATAAGCTTCTAATCTTTATTCATAAGTATTCATTTAATATGTAGCAGAGACTAGAAAAAAAAATGTTTATCTCTCTTTTCATGATTTCATCAATGCATATTTATAACAGAAAAACGAGAAAAGAATAAATATCTTAAAATAATAGTCTTACAAAGGAAGACAGTTATATATAACCATATACGTTCTCTTTCTCATCTTTTCTTTTTTTGTTTTTCTGTTATCTTTATTGAGATGGAATCGAAAGAAAGTATGAAAAAAAGAAAGAAAGAAGAGAAGATATAATGTTACTTCACCTATTAAACTTTTTTTTTCTGCCATCTTTCAGGCCATCATATGCTGTAAATTAAAACTTATTAAAACCTTATATGAAGAAAAGATAAAGAATAAAGTACAAAATTTATAAAGTAATGATTACAGAATAATTATAAAAGTATTAGTAATGCCAATGACGAATCATTTTTGCATTCGTTTTCTATTTGGATGTTTAATTTTTACTATTATTTCTGTTATTTTGTTTTACTGTACATATTCAATACCTTCAATTTTGACAGTTTTAAATACTGATTATCGTCGTCGACTTGAATGTATGTGTTATAGACACGAGTTGCCTCCGTTAGATTTTAACTTAACATCAAACCTGATCAAAAATCAAACTTTTCTTTGTAATCAATATGCTACTCGACGTGGACCATATCAGCGTATTATTTCTATTAGTCTTTACGGACCAAAAGAAAATAAAATGTTTCAATATAATCGATCACTTTCTTTCTTAAATGAACTCATTAATGATGTAAATACAATTTATCCTGATAACTTTATATTACGTATTCATCATGATGATACAATTTCTCTATCAGATGTTATATGTCCTATAGAATGTCGAAATCATAATGTTGATTTTTGTAGTATGAATTCTAAACTTTTTATTCCACCAAAAATTTGGCGTTTTATACCTGCTGGTGATCCACTTGTTGATGTTAGTAAGTATTTTATTAATAATTACTTCCCAAAAAAGGTTTTTGATAAAAACGGAAATAGATAAGAATAAAAATGAAAGTTTTTGTTTGTTTAAATATTCACGTTTACCAAGGTGAAAGAAAACGGTCCGTAAACGGTCTGAAACGGCATAAAAACAATGTAAAACGTTAAAACACGGCGCCGTTTTCCGTCAGCTCGAAAAACAAAGAGAATAGTGTTAAAAGCGATGGCCGTTTTCTAGCAAAAAAAACGGTCCGTAAAACGAGCTGACGGATTGCAGCGAAATAGGGTGAAAATTAATGGTGTTTTATGTCGTTTAATAGCTGTTTCAGGCCGTTTCCGATGGCCTTTTAGACGGCCGGAATGATTCTCCTGGGTAGACAAATAATGAAAAAAAACAATCGAGTTAGTATTTGAAATTTTTTTTTACAATAACAACGTGTATGTAACCGGTGTATAAAATAGTTTTTGCACAAAATTTTTGCGTAGATGTTCGTCCCTTTATAAGTTATTGGAAAGAATTAAAAGTATTCAACTATTATTATTCATTTAAAAAAAAAGAAGCTCTGCGGGTATTTTTCGAATAACTTTTGATAGAAACAAGATAGAGAGCTGCGGTTTTCATCATTACAAAGACTAGACTTAGATTCATAAATATCTGCTGAAATTTGATTGGTCAGCACTGTAATAATTAGATCAATTCTTGGTGAATATTTCAAAAACAATATTTCAGACCTAGTGTTCAGCAAGTCTAGATTATTATTATAATTGGTAGATAGAAAAACTTGATTTCTTTAGGTCTACATAAGATCGACATTGCTATCTTGTTCCAGTTGTGAGTTACACAGGTTTTGTTGATACAATCGATTTCAGCCAACTGATCTGAGATCACGTGGAAAAGCATTGAAGCAAGGATAATTTCATATACTGAGCCGAACGACGATATTTATTTTTGAATTTGAAATGGTATGCTACTTTTATCTGAAGGATAATAGAATGAAAATTTTGTGCTCTTTCTAAATATGTAGTTAGAATTACGTTCAGCCTTCGAGTTTGCTCGTTTAAAGAAAATATTTGACGAAAAAATAAAAAAAAATTGATTGGAACAGAATTTTTCATGTAGTATATTTAGTATTTTGATTAAAATTATATCAACCCAACCAATAAGAAAGTATTTTCAGATATTAGCTTGTAGAAAGAGGTTTGGTCTACAAAAATGTCTGATGTCTTTATCTTTTTACATATTGTTACACATCATCAACATCTATTGCGTGAAACAAAATGATACTATTTTAAGCCATAATTTTGTAGAAAAAGAATTTCTACAACAACAGAAAGCCAAAACGACTCCAAAATCCCATCCAGAAAAGTTATGAATAATAGAAAGAAAAAATTATTTTTCTTAATATAAACAAGATTTTTGATTTATTGAGATATTTGTTTATAGTTAGCCAACAGTAAATCAGAGAAAAATTCTAAATATATATTGCGAAATAGCATAACATTTTCATTCTCTCAGATTACTTTTAATTCTCTCTAATGACATGTAAATGGACGGAAATTTAAAGAAAAACATCGTATGCATAGACTCTTTTATACGCAGATTATCTTTTGAAGTGTGCTATTGCATGTCTAGGATGATCATTTTTCTGAGTTCGGAATTTACACTGTTTCTGGCACGACTCAACTAAGAAAAAAATAATAAACTAAAAGTAGTGGAAATCTGTTTGAAAAGAACTCAATATTTTATTGATTTATAACTTCATATATTGCTCCATAGACGAAAAAGCAGCATCGTAACATTTTCATTTTTCTCTATAAGAATATCAGTCATTATCCTCGACATCATTTGATGAATTTGCAATTTGGTTATATAATGCTCGATTTGTTAAAATACTTATTACATGCACATGTAAAGCAAATTAAAAGATCTATATCTGTAAACATTCTATTGCTCTTATGATTTATTTTGGTTATAATGCTATATGTGATCTACGAAAAATTCAAAGATTTAGGAAACCTACGTGAACGAACGAAAGAAATGAGAGCAGTTTTATGATGGATATTTCATTTGTTTTATATATATAAAAACTTTTTTTTTATCCTTGATATTCTTAGCAGTTCACCTCATCTCCTCTTAGGTCCTAGCAATCAGAACGGAGAACCAAGCATTATTGGATATGTTTTCCTAATAATAGAAAAAGGCACATCAATAATAATAGCACTAAGATCATTCTACTACTTTCTAGAATCTTCCAAAACATTCTATGAATCTAAGATTTATACTGTAGATTAGTGTAAATATTGTGGGTTTTCATATTTAATACTGCGAAAGAATCTTATTCTAGGTGTCAATTAGTAAGGCGGTGGTATTATTGATCTAGCGTAGCCAGAATATTACGGGACACAGAAATTATGAACTAATTAATTCAAAGAACGCGTATCAACTATAAAACCTTTTGAGCTTGATTTTTTCATTTATTCTGCATTTCTTTCTGATCATATATCATAAATTTATAACAGTCACATTTTGTGAGTTCTATAATTCGATTCAATCATGATGCTGCACCCACAAGGTTTTTCAATATTTTAAACAAACTGGATGATGCATAGTGTGTATGAAAGGTGACATGTATTAAATCAAACGGATTTCCAATACTATTAATTTGTTCTTTGTTCTTTGTTGAATGGGACTCAAAATACAATTTTATTGCATGTCTAAAGATATGAGATTTTGGTAAAAAATATAAATATTAAAAATTATAATTAAATCAAACATTAGACAAAACTAAAGATGCTATAACATATAATTTATGATATTTGAAATATAATCGTTAAGAACGTTTATGTCTTTCAAAGTGCCATTTTGTTTGATAAAATTTTATTAGAATTTGATATTTCTTTCTTTTTTCTTCAAGTGATGAGTCGTGATCTTGACTCAGCATTAACACGACGTGAACGTGCAGCGGTTGATGCATGGCTTGCTTCCAACAAGTCATTCCATGCTATGCGTGATCATCCACAGCATGCGGTACCTATGCTTGGTGGTATGTGGGGTTTTCGACCTTCACTTAATCCAACAATGTCTCGTTTAATACATAATAGAATTCATAATCCAAATTTAGTAAAACGTTTTGGTGGTATTGGTGATCAATCATTTCTTTCGAGTGAAGTATGGCCACATGCTAAATCAAGTGTCATTGTTCATGATAGTTTTCTTTGTACAAATGGTTATGGTCAAATACCAGAACCATTTCCAACACAACGTCCATCTGCAAATGAAACTAATTGTTTTATAGGTTGTGTACGACCTTGTTGTGGTAATGGAAAAATGCCTTTCGGTGAATGTCCAAAACAGTGTCGTCCAAAAGATCATCAAGAATGGAATTATTGTTAATTATTTTTTATGACACAGCTATTTTTTGCTGAGAGAAAAGAATCGCATCTTGTGCATTTTTTGTTTTAATAAAAGTTATATTTATGAACAGTTCTTCCTCTTTATAAGACATATTTCTATTGATTGATAATAATTGTTTGTAGGACTACTGGAACTTCTGTTTTGGGGATTTAAAGTTTCGGGATTTATATATATCTCCTACCTTATATGAGTATGACATCTTTTGTCAGATTAATCTAAATTCATCTCAATATAAATTAATTTATTGTCGGATTAATTTTTTTTCCAGTTAATTTATTCTCAAGACTTCTTTTTGTTACACAGAACTCTCTTTTGATTAGTATATCAATGACATAGAATGAGTATATCCTACCAGATCCATTCCGAATATATTATTCTTTCAGAAGATTTATTAGACAACTGTCTCATTTCCACAACCTCATATTCTAATAAATTCTGAAACAGAAAAAGATAACATAATTTATTTTACAAAATCTCATTAACTTCTGATGATTTCTACATGATGAAGATTATGATTGATTTAAATAATACTCCTTCACAATGTAGAACATTGATTTAGTTATGTAATAATGTCTTGTTCATATAAACTGAAAATATACTCATCTCTTTCTTTGCAAATCTGTACAATTTTTATCATTAATAATCTTGAGTTATCTAGGTGCATACTAGCATTGTATTTTTAATACTTTTAGGCAGATTAAAGTTTGTCAACATAAGATTATTGTTATGAAACATTAGTCGACGTTGTTGCCATCGTTCTTTCCAGCTTCTTGTTTTTTTGTGATTGATTAATGAACATTTCTTTTAATTCTGAAGTTCAGACAAGATTTTTTTGTGCTCCATTCAACCATTCTTATCTTTATCTTGTTTTAAACCACCATAACTATATAATGCCTTGAGTAACCTAAAATTCCACCACAACTATTGTTGAATTTCCAACTTCTGAAGGATGGTTATTGTTGCCATCAGTAGATTATTTAGTGCTTTTATTAAACCCAATTGTTGAAATCCTTAGCAGGAAAACTCTCGCTGTTATTATTCTTTGTATGCAAAATTCTTCTAATGATAATGTCTAAAGGTACTGAGAGAATGAGTCATGAACCTGTAACACCGCTGAACGCACCCAGTTTTCGATCACTGTAGTTGAAATAAAAAGGTCTTGATACATACAGGAAAATTTGTTTTTCATAAAAATTGGAATTCCTCTCATTTCTTCGACATAGCAGGTTTGACCGAGCTGAAACCCTTTTTTTTAATACGCAATCGACACTGTTTAAGGTGCCGACATTCTTTTTCTTTAGAAAAATATTGTATCGTTGCTTTTTGGTAAATTTTACAAAGAAAGCATATGTTTTTGGTAGTGAGTTCAGTATTTTGATCTTCTTAGTTAAATGGAATGATATAATTATGACAACACAATTTTCAAAAATACACTCATCAAATTCTCACGTATTCAATAAGCTTCTTTAATCAATTCGAAATGGTGCTCAGATGTTGAGAAACAATGATTGATTTGAATCGCAACTAATGTGTCGAGTGGAAGAAGAAGAATTTTCATGATAATTAAGCAATCGAAAAGCAATAAGTCGAATGCTGTATTTCGTGTAGATAGCCGCCAAAATGAAAAACAAATATCAGTATTTGTATAAAACTTCTATATAGGCATGTACCGAGCTTTTTTTCATTACTTTCGAACACTTTTATATTAACATCTTGAGCTCTGAAATGAAAGACTGAATCATGAGGTCTAACCTATCAAAAGATAGACCAAACATCGCTCTACAAAATGAGACATATCTAAGCTCTGTGCAATAATGCCTTCGGTTTTTATAGGAATTTTACAAACCGAGCCCGACCGAGCCTAGGCTCGGGGCTCGGGCTCGGTCAGGCTCGGTCTGGGTCTGTTTGTAAAATTCCTATAAAAACTGAAGGCGTTATTGCACAGGGCTTGGGTATGTCTCATTTTGTAGAGCGATGTTTGGTCTATCTTTTGATAAGTTAGGCCTCATGATTCAGCTTTTCACTTAAGAGCTGAAGGTTTTGAACTAAAACTGTTTGAAAGTAACGAAAAAAAGCTCGGTACATGCCTACTTCTATATGAACATTTATGAGAAGAGTAGCCATGACCATTTCTTCATCAAGTATAAAATGAAAAAAATATTGTTCAATATTTCAATTCTATGAAAATCTCAAAATAAAAATAAATATAAAAGCATGCTAACTTCGTTGTAATGTTTATTTGATCATTGACTCAACGATTATTTACAAAGTTTCTTTTTACTCATACACATTTGTTGCCATATGCTGTTTTAAAAATAAGATTATTTTTGCACTCTATTTACGTTTCTTATTTCATTTTTTTTTGTATACGATTTGTGAAATTTTTTCATTAAGAAGAAAAGAATCAACATGAAATCGTCACTAATAGTTCGAGAAACTTTATTTTAACTATCTGATTAAAATTTTTTTTCTTACCTACGCAGAAGAGTTTTATTCATACTCAACAATAATATATTTAGTTAATAAACTAATGACTTTAATGATTTAATGTTGTCTATTGCTTAAAGCATTCATCGAAATTGTTTGGCCGCGTTAAGTTACATTGGGAATAAAAAACAACACTTGATCACTTTGCTTCATTCATTTTCATGATTTTAAATGCATATGAGTTTTTAATATGATCTACGGTCGAAAGAAAAAAAAAACTATAGAAAAAAAAAAACAGAACAGGAAAACGGATTAAAAAAGAAAAACAAACACAATGAGAAAAAAAACCCTTAAAAAGTATAAGCTACATCAATTTTTAAAAGTTTATTATGAGGTTGTCACCTTGGTCTCTTAATGGTGCACGCTTTATCGGTTATATACTTAATAGTTTCTTATGCAGTTGTATTTTCTTTCTCACATTACATATTATTGATTACACTCCTATTGCTATCAATTCATTAAGACTTAATTATCGTCGTCGACTTGAATGTACATGCTATAGACATCGATTACCTCGATTAGATTTAAATTTAATATCAAATCTGCCCGAAAATCAAAGTTTTCTTTGTAGTGATTATGCTACTCGACGTGGACCACATCAGCGTATTATTTCTATTAGTCTTTATGGACCAAAAGAAAACAAAAGGTTTCAATATAATCAATCACTTTCTTTCTTAAATGAACTCATTAATGATGTAAATACAATTTATCCTGATAACTTTATATTACGTATTCATCATGATGATACAATTTCTCTATCAGATGTTATATGTCCTATAGAATGTCGAAATCATAATGTTGATTTTTGTAGTATGAATTCTAAACTTTTTATTCCACCAAAAATTTGGCGTTTTATACCTGCTGGTGATCCACTTGTTGATGCTAGTAAGTATTTTATTAAAAAAAATCAAATAACGAAATTTCGATTTATAATTTCGCACATAAACAGTGCGATTGGCTAGTAGAACACTCCGAAGGTTTCAGCCGAAAGGAATGCTTCTTTGTCGAAGTATTAACTTTTCAAGTAAACTCGATTTTTATGCAAACGACCATGTTTCGAAAATTCTATATCTCAACCAAGGAACATTTTCGGCGGAAACCTTAAGGATATTCTTCTAGTCATTCGATCTGTTTATGGGTGAAATTTCAGATCGAAATTTCTTTATTTGATTTTTCCGTAAATAACTTAAGCTAGATGGAAAATTTAGTGGAATGTCGAAATTTCGGCCAAGGAATTTTTGGCCCGGGACAAAATTCATCTGACCGCTCTTGATAAAAAATTGTTTAACTTCAATGAATAGTTAACACATACAGTAGTACTGAACAGGGCGACGTTACGCTGGGTGTGGGTATGGGTTTGGAACGAGCAAAGATCTACACCTCCACTTCCATCCCCACCCACATCCTAATCGAAATGTCGAAGAATTCGAAAAACTGCCAACATTTGTAAAGAAATATTAATTAATTGAAAGCAGATTATGAAAACATTACTCGGTAGTTCTGTTGAGCGCTGTACGATTTATTTTGACACTTGTTGCGGAGATGCTATATTTATCCCTCAAGACTACAATACTTCTCATATGGATCCAAGCAGACTACATAACACTACATTGTCCTACTCAGCACCACGCCATCCTATTTCGCACTACATAGTGTACCAACTAATTGTATAAATATGACTTTTTTCAAAGGATTAACGAGGTGAATTTGGGTTCGGACCGAAAATTCCTTGAGCCAAAATTCATGTAACACGGCTGCAGAGTCCTAGTGGAACGAGTCCTTTTAAAATTTTCTAGTTTTACTGAAATCTCCTTGTGAATCTAATATGAGCTCAAATGGCAGTGTCACTTTAGGTAGTTCCCTCGTGAGAGCACAGAAATGAAAAATAGAAGTATATAAGGAGAAAAATGAAATTTCATGTCGTTCGTTTAAACATCTTGATGTTTAAGCGAATAGTGAAAAAATTCGTGTTACTATTTGAAACAAGTTTTGTAAAATAGCAACTTGTAATCAACTGTATGCATCTTTTGACTGTGCTGTAAAGCGCCTTGAAATTTTATTTTTGTTTGCAATCTAGATATTTTATTAAATATGATTGAAGAAAAGTTTATGGTAAGTCATCATTTGCCACGAGTTGTAGTTCGATGAATGGATTCCTAAATAATATTCCCATTTATGAACAATCTAACACTGACGATCAGTTTTGATGAGCAACTAGAGATTTTAATTTAGAAAACTTTCAAGCATAGGATATACGACTCATACCATGATTTAACATTATTCTAGTTCTCCTACGACTCTATATCAACTAGAATAAAACTTTTCAAGTATTCATTTTCGAAATATGTAATTGAGATTATCTACACATGCCAGCATACTATAAGAATACAACTCAAGCTTAAGTACGAAATTCTACGAATAAAACTTAACTATCATAATAGTGTAAAAATGCGATAATAGATGTTTGTCAATTACTAGTGATTACCGCAGTTTTTCTACACTAATGAAAAGAATGCTTCCATTGGGATCTCAATATAGATGCTGCTGAAGGTTCGAGCAATTGGCGCCGTTTTAAGCATTCTTGAAAACGAACCAACGATCATGGTCGAATGTGCTACGGATTACCGAGTTTCCTTAGTGAACCAAGGTTCAGTGAAGCTGATTTATAAAAAGTTCAAATGAATTGTCCTTCGATGGCATCGTGCAAACTAGAAAATAGTTCAATTTATTGACGTATGCCGCTCACGTAATGTATAGTAATTTGACTAGTCTTTGATAAGAATCTTGATGTTGTCTCATAAAAAAGATAGTGATGGGCAAGCAATGATTAAATTGAAGGAAAATGACCAATATCAATCATCTGCCGATTCATTAGTTCTTCTTTTTGCACTAGATATATGTAGAAGGTGTCGACGTGGATGTAAGTTTTCTTTCTATCAACACTCACAATCACAATCAAGTCTACATTCGCATACAAAACTATAGGAAACTAAACGTAATTGCTATAATCAATACCATGCTTTTCTTGTAAATTTTTTTCTGTGGATTATTGTGCATCCTGTATTTATCATTGACAATACATTGCGCCTAAAATAATCTTTCAAGTGTTATTATTTCGATATCAAGCTATTATAAATAAAATTGTCTATCTCCTATTGATTAGCCTACTGAAGATAATAGTATATTTTAAGATGTTTGATTCACGAGTAAAACAGGCGTAGATAACACTGAAAAAAAATTGGTACGATACCGAACCAAAAAGAGTACTGTGAACGAAAAAAAGGTTTCGATTTCGTTGCAATTATCTGAACCATTTTAGGTTCGATACCGACCACTACGAAAAAGTGTCCTGAGTCAATGACAATCAATTTTAGTCACCCAAAGTTTTGTACGAAACCTTTTGAGGGTTTCGAATTGTCTTCCAAAATGGTTCCGTAATCATACAAATTCTTTTGCAGCGTACCGAACCATTTTGGAAGGCAATCCGAAACCCTCACAAGGTTTCGTACAAAACTTTGTGTGACTAAAATTGATTGTCATTGACTCAGGATACTTTTTCAAGTTTTTCGTAGTGGTCGGTATCGAACCTAAAATGGTTCAGATAATTGCAACGAAATCGAAACCTTTTTTTCGTTCACAGTACTCTTTTTGGTTCGGTATCGTACCAATTTTTTTTCAGTGAATGATATATGTCACTAGCATTGACCTCCATTGTTTGATTGTTCACAAACGTGAATATGATTAAGTGATTGATTCAGAGAACCATAATTTGTGGCAAATAATGCGCATTTTACATCACATCTAATTTATAATATTTGAAATATAATCGTTAAGGACATTTATCTCTTTCATAATGCTATTTTGTTTGATAAAGTATTATTAGAATTTATTGCTTCTAATTTATTTCTATTCAAGTGCTGAGTCGTGATCTTGATTCACCATTAACACGACGTGAACGTGCAGCGGTTGATGCATGGCTTGCTTCCAATAAATCATTCCATGCTATGCGTGATCATCCACAGCATGCGGTACCTATGCTTGGTGGTATGTGGGGTTTTCGACCTTCACTTAATCCAACTATGTCTCGTTTAATACATAATAAAATTCATAATCGAAGTTCGGTACAACGTTTTGGTGGTAGTGGTGATCAATCATTTCTTTCCCGTGAAGTCTGGCCACAAGCTCTATCAAGTATCATGGTTCATGATAGTTTTCTTTGTACTAGAAGTTATGGTAAAAATTCTCAACCGTTTCCAACACAACGTCCATCTGCGAATGAAACCAATTGTTTTATAGGTTGCGTAAGGTCTTGTTGTGGTGATGGAAAAATGCCTTTTGGTCAATGTCCAAAAGAATGTCGACCAAAAGATCATCCAGAATGGATTTATTGTTAATTTCTTTTGCTGAGAGAAAAGAATGACATTGTTTATATTTGTTGTTTTGTTTAAAAATTTTATTTGTGAGCGATTCTTTCTATTTATAAGGCACATTTCTATTGATTCATGTCTATTGTTTCAGTATATACTATACTTGATGAACTTGTCTTATAAGTTTAAACATTGAAATTCAAGTTTAGTTTGCATGAAAATATTTTGAGAGGTACTTATTGGATTGGGACAATTCCTGTACCAGTTTCATGAAGAGCTTTTAGAAAGAATTAGATAAATTTAGAAATCAAAATCACTGAGCTTGGTAAAGATACCTCATTTATGACATTCTGATGTAAAAACAAATTTGTTGAAAACACAATTTCATGTGAAATATCCTCTGATCATGTGAGCTAACTATTGCGAGAAATATTTGTTTTCTTGTTTGTGTGATTTTATGAAAGAGCTAGCACAGAATATGCCTAAAAGCAGTGTATTAGTTAGAAAATAAAATCTACATGCGAATATAAAAATGCAAAATAAGTAAGTGTTCGTTTGAAATATCTATGACAGTACAGATGAGGAAAAATAGGCAAGATTATTTCTTTGTCATATATATAAACCCAAAGAAAATATTATTTACTGTTTCAATTCTATGAAGGTCTCAAAATAGAACGATATATAGGCACATCGTAACTTCTTTGCAATGTTTATATAGCTAGTCTTTTCAAATCTTTGAACGTTTATTTGCACGGTTTCTTTATGCTGTTTTCTTAACCCTTTACGGCCGGCTCCTAGAAGCCGTTAAGAAAAAAATTCTTATGATACATATTTTTTCTTGTTTCACCATGAGGATGATCATATTTAAATTTGAGGATTAAAGAATTGATTTATAACTAAATACCACGATGTTGCCTTTTGGCAACATCCGGCCGTAAGGGTACAAAAAGTTGAAAAAAGACAATTATTTTTCCTCGATGAAAGACCAATAATTTGCTGTTAGGTTCAGTCCAGACTGTGAAACAAAAGCATACTTTGTTCATCTGCCCATCTCTTAAAGCTCTAACGTGATATATATTCCCATAATACTAAAAAACCTTCCGAAATAGTGCAGATTTCATCTATTTTTCCTAGAGGAGCTCACAAGTTTAGCGAGATTCTAACAAGATTTACAGCACATCATAGTATTCATATTCAGGCTATTATAAAGCGTTACCAATCTTATTAAAATTTTACTAAATTTATGAGTTTCCCTAGGAAAATAGATGAAATTTGCACTATTTCCGAGATTTTTTTTAGTATTATGGGAATATATTTCACGTTAGGGTGGTAAGAGACGGGCAGATGAACAAAGTATGCTTTTGTTTCACAGTTTGGGCTAAAACTAGCAGCAGATTATTGGTCTTCCATCGAGGAAATATAATTGTCTTTTTTCAACTTTTTGTACCCTTACGGCCGGATGTTGCCAAAAGGCAACATTCTTGTACTGTGTTCTTCGAGTAAACTGAATGATTCATCTTATTGGCATAATAGATAATGGATCTGGAGAGGAAAATTAACCACTAGTTACTTCTCGCATCGAATGCTCAGACAAATGGAAAACGGATCGTTTCGACTCGAGGGCTATTTTGGGTGTTGGCGGGAGATTTCGTCTCTCTCGTCAACAATACCTTTCTTTTTTCTTGAAAAGGCATAGATTTGCCCTAAAATACGTGTAATTAATTATCAGATCGCGTAAGGAACTATATCTCGTCACTTTAAAATAAATCCTAAGATGATATTGGCAAAATGTTGCCAAAAAGCAACATTCGGCCGTAAAGGGTTAAGATGCAGGCGCCAAAAAATTAGTCATGCTTACTGTTATGGTACGAGCGGTGCGCATCTTTGATAAGTTTATTTGCATGTTCTATTGTAAAGACAGATATAGTTACAAGAACTAAAGGCGAAAAAAAAGTGAAGTCAAGAAATTTATTGAATTGATTAATGCTTAGTTCATCAGTTGACTATGAAATGTTCTAATTAATTGAAATGTTTCATATTTTGATTAAAGATAAGTTTTATCTAATTTGAAAGATCTTCAAACGACATAGACGCATAAGCTATTGATTTTGCGTCACAGAATATTTTAAGTCACTTTATTAGTAGTCCTATCCAGTCAAATGAGCCGAATATTTTGGTTATAAATTTGAGTAAAATTCCACAAAATCAAAAGAACTTTGGGAATAGAATATCCACGAAAAATCATTAGACATGCATTAAGCTCCTGTTTGGTTAGTATTAGTCCAAAATTTAGAGTTTTTTGGTAATACGCTGGGTTCAAGTTCCATTGGTTGCAAGGAGCATTTATTTCTGCGTCATTTTTTTCAACAGATTCTATTATTTTATTACAAAAATTAATTATGAGAAGTACTATGTTAATTAGCATGATTCGATAGCTCACGATTGAACAATAGTTAGAATTGTTTGACATATTTTTCTACGCGAGTCAGTTTTTCTTATGCATCATTCGATAGAAAAAAATCAGAGCTACAAAATGACATATAATTCATTCGACTGAAATTTAGTTTAAAATACTTTAAGTGTGCGTTCAATGTTTGAGGTTACGAAAAGTGCACTTTTTCATGTGCTTGTGAACACATTTGTATGAGAGTAAGTAGAACTTTGATATAAACGAATAGTATATTTGAAATCAGTATGAAAAACTCAGTCGATCAATATATATTTTCAAATCTTTCGAGTGCTTTTATTTTTGTCCCAAAATTTAGATCAAGTCCTCTTCAGGATAAGCAAAAAAGTGAATCCTATGAAAATACATGCCTAAGTGGAAAAAAACAAATTCTTTACTTCAGAACAGTTAAAAAATTCATAAGAACAATAAATTTATTAACAAAAACAATCTTTTAATTAAATTCATTTGTTCACCTATCCTATCCCTGAGAGAACCTCAGCTAAACTTCTGAACGAAAATAAAAGTATTCGAAAGATTTTGAAAGTACATAGATGGACTGAATTTTTCATATTGATTTCAAATATATTATTCTTTTTTTTTATCAAAACTCTACTTACTCTCATGGAAGTGTACTCAGAAGCAAGTAGAAAAATGTGCTCTTCTCCTATCACCAAATATTGAATACGCCTTTTATGTACTTTGAGCCAAGCTTGGACTAAATGAGCTATACATCATTTTGTACCTGTGACTTTGTGCTATCAAATAATGTATAAGAGTTTCTAGTTCGTATACGAGTAATTTTGCAATGATATAATACTAGCTCTCATATGAAACGACTCAGAATTACGTACTCTTTGTAACCAGTTGAACTTGAACTTAGTGCATTGTCAAAAAATTCTATGCTTCAACTAATACTAAATCAATAAGAACTTATAAATATCTAATGACTATCTGTGAAATATTCTACTCTCTAAGTAACTTCTATTTTGCGAAATTTCACTTAAACTTATTACCAAAAGATTCACCTCATTTCTCTTCATAAAATCATCAATAAAGATGTTTAACATATTCTGTGGTACAAAATCAATGACTGAAACACTCACCATCCTTTGATCGAAAAAAAACTAATCAACATCTCCATCCATCTACAACATTCAAAAAAAAGATGTCACTTCAAAACTTTTTCACTAATACTTCAAGGTTGCCTAGGAAAATATTTTATTAATGGTTATTCGAACGACAATTTTGATCGATTGTCAGTTCTGTTCGATTGCTAAAAAATGGCAACACGAGCTGCCGCAAAACCCGGACGTCCACCAGCTAAATCAACTGTTAAAACACCTGGAAAAGATCAAATAAAAGGTGATAAACAACCAACCAATATATTAGAAATTGTACCTGGTAAATTTAATGAAACCGATTGGCTGTCATTATTAGAAAACGATGATACAGAAGATTTTATTGCTGATGTATTCGATAGTATATGGACAGAAACATCAAAACAAATTCAACAAATCTATATTCGTAGGCAATTATTACCATTTACATTAATGATGACAGAAAATGCTTTGTCAAATGTTATTCAAGTGAATTAAATATTCGAAAATATATTTCTTTTGATTTATGTTTTTTTTTGTTGTATAGTGGGCATTTTTAGAGCGAGATGAACCGAAACCAACCGATGGTGACTTTTGGAAAGAAGATGATGGTGAATTAAATACCAACGATTAATTCTATTCAATTTTTGTTTCATCCTTTTTCTTTTCTAGAACCTATTCCATGTTCAATGGATAATTGGGGTGAAGGTGTTGTACCTGCTTGTCGTGAAGAACGTCCTCAAAGGTTTTTGTTTTCAATCGATTTTTAACATTATCAATAATACTTTGAATTTAGTATTGAACAATCACCAATATTAGACACTGAACGTTCACCTTTGGCTCCTATAAGTATTCAAACACCAGAAGATGTTAATCAAATAAGACAATCTTCTTCAAGAAATTCATCAGTTAATAGTTCAATTCATTCTGCGACTCAAACGAAAGGTCCTCCGAAAATTGATCATATTCATCACCAAAACAAATCTGAACAATCTATTCAAGATAATATTGATGATCATACTTTAATACGAAAAGAATCTCCAATCGAACAAAATATTCATCGATTATCTTTTGAAAAAAAACTTTATAATCATGATATACTTGTGATTCAAAATCAGCCACCTCAGGTTAATAAACGAAAAACTATTTTCTATAGACTCATTTGTTTTAAATATCTTTTTGTATAGCTTGAACCATTATCTGATCTATTCTATTCAGTACAAATTCAAACAAGTAGTTCATCAGCTAATGTAACACCAGCAACGACAACAATAACAAAACATCGACGTGCAATGGCACCAAAAATATCATCACAAATTGGCTCTGATGCACTAGCATCCAGTACAAATATAACTGGAACAACAACAACGAAGAGTGTGAGAAAAGCTGAATCGAAATTATTCGATGATCAACATATTGAAGAAGTTATTTCTAAAGCACCTGTTGCTGCCCATTCAATGCTCAAAGTATAGTTTTTTAAT